GGGGGGGGGTCATGAGAAACAAACTTGATAAACATGACAAATTTAAAGCTTTCAGGGGGGCTTTTTGGCTTCAGCTCTCACATCAAAATACAGTTTCTTTTACACCATACTGACTAAAATTCAGTAGCTTTCAAAGTTGTGGCTCGGCATCAAGCAAAGCTGGTGTTCATAAAGTATAAAACGCAACCTTGTTGACTTTTATCAAACAACACCTCTAGAGAATCTGGCATCTTAGATGCTTTACGGGAAAATTAGAACGCTTGATGATCAAAAAGGAGATGAATACACAACATAAGCAGAAGAAACTGCCAGCAGTCATGAGAAGGCAGCAGATGGTGAAGATGTGATCTGGCCACGGGCATTTTCACATATGGACCACCCCTAATGAGGCATTTAGCAACACCCAGGTGCCCTGCAACATGCCATTATCGACCCCCTCCATCTCCACAGGACAGAGTGCATTAGCACAGCTATTTGTCTTTATTCCCTGACCACAGGCACTGACCTGGCAGAACAACACAAGTAATTGTTTCTAGCTCTCAAGACATTACTTGTTTTTCTTGGCAACAGTCAATCATCTTTTTTTAACCTCGCAATTAAGCGAGCGTGTAACGTGTTCTGAGTCTGCGTGAGTTCGGGTCGCCCTGGGAGAATGTCGGACCGTCGCAATGCAACAGTATTTGCTCATATAAGCGTCAATAACAAGAAGTTGACGTTGTAGTGAAAAGCATCGTTCATACGGATAAGCTTTTAATCTTTATTTATGAGCACTTTAAATAAATCATTTATCTTGGGGAGGGAAAAAATGTGATTTATTTCACTTTAAATAACAAGTGAAGAGACAAAAAGTGAAAACAGCAGTTTGAGCTCTCAGTCTAAAGACTATTCATAAATTTGATCTAAAGGGTGTGAGATTTATGTCGATTTTGTCTAAAAAAAAGGTTAACACCAAACACATTCAGCAGAGTTCATCTCAGAGTTCATCTCGAGAATTAACCATCTATAGAAAACAAGTAAATATGAAACATGTGATCCTTGCTGAAAATGAAGAATATTTTGGACAGAGATCAAACTCTAACTCACGTACAATTATACTATAAGCTTTTTGGCAACTTCTGGACAACAACTCGATAATATTTTCTCTTAATTGTCTCAATGATTCATAAGGAAAACTTAAAGGCACGAGCTGTAATTAATTTAAAACCATTTTAAGTACATGACTTCATATTACTTGAATGAATGAGTTTTGTCAGCATATCTTTTGGGACTATACAGTTTTGTTCCAAAAAATGAAAACAAATTAAACAGTAAGAATATCTAAATGTTTTGATAGAAACAGAAATTATTTTTGAAATTGAAAACGCTGCATTAGATGAACTTTAAAAGCTGAATGAAGGCATTGACAAAACATTTTAGGTAAATAAATCCAACACCTGTCTATAGTCTGTTGGGGAATTATTTGATTCTTTATTTTAAGGATCCCATGCTTGCTAATAATTTCAGTAAATAATCAAATGACTGAAAAAAGGCATCTCTCTCGTATGTATTGACTCAAGAGTGCACACTCTGTGGTCTTCTAGTCAAGATAATTTATTTCTAAAACGCATTTGCACCACAGAGACGTTTCAGTTGAACTGCCTTATATTTATATAAAACAATTTCCCTCCTTGATTAAATGATTCAAGAAAACAGTATTTATGAACTCCATGTGAACTGAAATCCTCATGAGTATTTTCCTGTGGAAATGTGTTTTTTTTCCTACTGTGTGAAGTCTGTCTGAGAGGAAATGATACGGATAAAATTCCAACCCTTAGGCTGTGTCTGTCCATGTTTTGTCCATCTCTTGTCTGAAATCTCAACACTGAGAGTAAGAGAATATTGCACCGTGGTAACTAAACGCAGCAAAAACAGGCTGTGATGCAGTGTAACTTTTATATAGGACTCACTTTCTGCTTAATGTTGTGGTTTCATTTTCCAGTCTGGACCAGTGACAAGCTCAGGTCTGCTGTTACACAAAAGGGTTAATGAAAAGGATGGTGGGTAAGGGGGGGTTGGTGGGAAGTGATACTCGATCTTCAGCTCTTCGATAGGGAAGATGGGAAAAAAAACGCAAAATGGAAACAAAGTCAGAGGGGCCAATCAAACCAGAGACGTTTCTATGCAACCGAGCAGATGACATCCAGATAAACATGCTGGTATAGGCTTAATGGTTACTGATAACAAATCAAGTAACTCGACACATCCCGAATGAGGCATGACCTGAGCGTGCAAGTCTGAATGTGTATGAGCGTCTGTCTCTTTGGGCATTTGTGCGCAAGCAAACTAATACCATCCTGAGGCGGAAAGATGGGAGCATTAGGCCATGAAAACAGTGACTGACAGATATAAGTGCACTCACTTGTCCCCTCTTAGCCCGAGGATTCAGGGATACACCCAGAAATGCTATGCAACAACTCCTCTGAAGGACTTAACTGTTGTCTGCAAACTTGAGATCCAGCTCTGTAGTTACATCTCAAGCAAAGCAGATCAGTGAATGTCCACATAAGCCTCACGTTAGTTCTCTGACCAAGGATCCAGAGACACCACAGGGTTTTAGGCTCAACAAACCCAGCCAAGCTGTCTGCTGCAAGTCATTGGCACCTAACCGTTATTGTAGGCTCTTTAAACAGACTATAACATCCTCACCACAGTAAAGGTAGTAGCTGCTTTGTTTGGCTGCGCTGAGTGATCTTGAAAACCTATCCTTATTAGGTAAGGCAAGCACGGCATAATTTATTAGCACTTTCCACTCAGAACACACTGTTTAAAGGAAACACCATTTCTTTTCTTTATTTTATTTTATTTTATTTTTGTTTTGTTTTTATGTTTTTTTTTTTCATCACACTCCAGGAAAAATAAAGCCTCAGCACAATTAGGATGATGTCAGAGAGCACAGGAATGGTGCATTAGGCCATTAAAAGCACATCTGATGTTTTTAGAGGGATTTTGGATTGGTTCAGACATGCCACAAGCTACAGCATAAACCTAAACAGAAGATTCATTGTTAGCATGGCTGCAGTTTAAATTAATTACTTATTCTGCTATCAGATAAGTCACAGTAATTCTGTTTTACCTGGCACCATCTAAGTGATGTAACATTTGATCGTTGTGGAGAAGACAAAAGAGGGGGGAAAAAAACAACATCAAAAAGGAGTTGTCTTCCTGTGGCCTGAAGCAGAAATCTTTTACAACCACAGTCATGCTGACCGAACGCCCTGAAACACAGCCAGTGAAATCAATAATCGCAACAGCAAACCCTTCCTTTTGCTGCCTCACTTCATCAGTTTCTGTGCCTCCACTCACAACACTCCCTTCAAGCCAAAGCGCCTTCTAAGGAGTTAGATAAACCGTCAGAGGCGCAGTGAGAGGAAAGTGAGTCATGAAGTCTGTTTGATGTAAAAGCACAGATAGATAAATAACTGTGCTATTTTCCCCCCTGCACCACTTCATAAAGAAATCTTGATATACAGTATATACATTGAAAAAATAAACAATTCTCACTTACTAAAAAGAGTTTATTTATTTTTTTTTTCATTTTTTTAGGTGTGTGATTGTCTAAATCAGTGGTTCCCAAAGTTGGGGTCGGGACCCAAAGTGGGGTCCCGAAACATCAAGGTGGGGTCCTGAAAAGATTTTCTGAATTAATTACATTTTTGCCTTAGTTATTACAAATGAATGAGGCTAGTGTATTTAAAATGGATAAATGTAGTATATAAAATATTGTTACTATGCCCATGTTTAGTTGACCTGATACAAATGTTTATCATCCAAACATAGTTGGAGGCACATTGTCTCTGGTACTGTTATTTTGTGGGTCAAAAGCTGAAAAGTTTGGGAACCACTGGTCTAAATCTTGTGCACTAATAAATAGTGTATATTTGGTAAACGATTTGTTTGTTTTAGGCAAACTTAAACATACTGGTGTCTTTCTCTTAGTGATGCTAAGTAAAAAAAATTCAGAATGTGAATCTAAATAATGCATTATTCAAATGTTGAAGTTGATTCATGGTATTAAACAAACATATTAAATGATTCATTATGAGACCTTCTGCCAAGATAAACACATCACTTTGTTTCAGTGATATCCATTTTCCCAGCTCTGACTAAAAACAATATCAGATCTTAATACTCTGTCAAATATACATAAATAACTTTAAAACGGCCCATTGTCAATATTTCTCAATAATTGTAAACTAGGTGGACAGATGGAAAGCTTTGCCTTCCAAAGTAGCAAACAGCAAGTGCCAAAAACTATAACGAGCATAAACAGCTATAAAGAACAAAAATAAGCTGTTGAAACCACATGAAAATAAGTTTTGTTGCTTTGTTTTCCCTTTAACAGCTTCCAGTTGGCTAATATTTATTATTATTTACATCGGAAAATAAAGTTTAAAGCAGCTAATGAAAAGAAAAAAAAACGTAAATGGCACACAAATCTGAATAAATTACTGACCACTGCTTTGTTAGCGGGTCTTTGATCTCACCTGCTCGCGCGCTGGACTCCGTGTGCTCACGTGCGGCACAAACCAGAGACGCACCAGACCAGATGCGCGCGCCTCCTTCCGTCCTGAGAGTTGCTCCGACGCGCAAAAAACAAACTAATAAAAGACCAGCGGTGATGTGTGTCGCGTTTAAAAAAGAAAGGGTTACACTAAAAAAAAAAACTTCCCCAGAATGTTTCCACTCGGTTCAGCTGAACGGAACCAGGCGCTCGTGAACTCTTGGCTCTCTGGGTGTTGTGTGTGTTTTGGATGGATGGGTGATTATGTGGCAGCTTGCCCCAGGAAAGACAGACAGCAACCTCCCAGTTCTGTTACCGCTGGAGGGGAGTGGTCCTCAGCATCTGCACGACTGCCAGACACTTTAACTTTACTCAGACTGTAATTTTAGTATTTCACATCTAAGTTGACCGAAAATACAGGGAAACACACGAAGCCTAAACAGCTGTGAATCCAAAGGGATATTAAATCTTTAATAAAGTCTTGCTTATTTATGCTGAGCTTTGCAATTTATTCAAGTTTACAAAACATACAGGAACAAAGGCACGGAGGAAAAAACGTTCACAGGGCTGCTCTACAACAATAAATGTGAGACAACTTTTTGATTGATGGTTGATTAAATACTAACAAACTCATAACTCCAGCTTGGGTTTCTATTTACATATGATGTCAATGATTAGAAAACAGTGATATAGATACAGTTTGCTCATATTGAGCACCTTTGAGAAAACAATGAAACATTAACATCTGTGGTGCTTTACCTTATAGAAACTCAAACATGAACATTGCCCCACTGAAAAAAATGATTTTTGGGTGTAGTAACATTTATTTAATTTATTTTAAGTTTTACAAAAAAATTCAAATTTTCTAAACTACTAGAATTTACTAAATAAACAATACACATTATATTATATATCAATATTACTGTACAGAAAAAGTAAATGCTACTATTATTTTACCAGTAGCATTTAAGTGTTTTTTTCTGGACAGCACATAAACGTGAATATATTAAGTTACTTCTACTTTTCTGGGCTGAAACTGAGGGAGCATGCAGACACAAAGGCTGCTGCTCCTCATTCCCTTGCTTCACTTTTCAAGGAGAGGACAAGACATGGTCGAAATAAAACATAAGTCGTCTGGTTTCTTTTGCTTGAATACATTTGTAGGTGTGCAATAGTTTGATGGCATAATGTAGTTGATATATTGTTGCATTCTGATGTGTTTGGCTGTTTGTCATGTGACTGCAGTGGAGGATTGTGGGTAGGATTCATGTTTGTTGTTGTTAAATCATTTTAGGGAATTGGTTAACATTGTTCTTTCAGCAGTTGGTCTGTTGTGTTACTCTAATTTGTGTGTTCATTATTTGTTAACTTGTGTAAACCGTTCAGCAGAAGTAACCACAAGTGAGAGTGGTAGGCCTAGTCATTAATACGATGTCTGCTCTGTTCATGAAGAAGAATCCAATAAAGGGTCTTCAAAACTGCCCCCTGGTGGTGAAGTCTTGAACTACAACATGAGCTACACCTCTCTCTGTAGCTGTGAGGTGTCATGCTACAGTATTGTGCTTGATACATGTTCACTGTTATAAAGAACTTCTCTGATTTACTTGAAAAAAAAACCTTGTAACAATTTGCACTAATGTTTAAGTAAATTCAAATGCTACAAATTCATCCATTATTTACTCATCATTATCTAGTAAAAGTTATTAAGAATATAGTCAAAGATCTGTGAATAAATAAGGTAAATTTTACTTAATTTGATCAATGATATATTACAAGATTTAATTGAGCAAATAAAGTAAAATTTACCTGATTTATTCACAAATCTTTAACTGTATTCTTAACTTTTACAAGATAGTGGTGAGAGTAAATATTACATGAATTTGTAGCATTTAAATTTACTTAACAAAAGTAAGTGCAAATTGTTATGAGGATTTTTTTCTAGTAAATATTACAAGTTCTTTTTTACGGTGCAGGAATAATTTTATGAATGTTAAAATGGCATTTCATATTTTTTTTAAATAGAGAGTGTATATCTTTCCCATTTAAACAATTATTTTAACAACCCGAATTTGGAGAAATGGATTTTATTTCTGATAATGAGGTTGAGCTAAATCAAGACCAACATGAACTGCTTCTGACCTAAAACTACATCAATTTTTAAAATGATGTCAAGATTGCATTACAAGGTTAACGTGATAGAAATAATATCATATTCCTGCAGGAAGTGCCCCAGGCTCATTGGAAGTGTTACACAAAATCACATAGATGTCAGTGTGAATAACAACGGCAGCATGGTGGAGCAGTGGTTAGAGACGTTTCCTCTCATTGAAAAGGTTGCAGGAACATCTTCGCTCTTGGTGGGGTTTGGATGCTCTCCCTTTGATTGTGTGGGCCTTTCCCGGGTACTCTGGTTTCCTCCTATAGTCAAAACTTTGCATGTTAAGTTAACTGGTAACTCTCAACTATGTTAGTTAATGTTAACTTGTGGTTTGGTTGCTTATAGTTGTTGTACTATTAAGTTAATCTCGTCTATGTGACATACCAAGACATTGGGACTAATGCAAAACACTGAACCCAAGTTTAAAGCCTGCCTTTCAATGCAAAAAGGACTGACTAATGAGACAAATAATCATTCATGCTCTCACTACCATTAGCTTACTGTCCTGTTGTCCTACCCTCTAGTCCTGACTGCTGGATGGTCCAGTACAATCTCCAGTATTTTTCTTTCAGATTTGGTGTAGTCCATTATTGTTGTGTCACAAATAAAAAAAAAAAAAAAGATTTGCGTTTGTTTAAAATTATGATCCCCACTCACATCGAGGCAGCTCTATGCAAACACAACTAGGCTCGGGTAGAATAAGGCCAGACTGACTGGAGCTTGGCCAGGTCTTAAAGTGAAATAACGCCTTATGAGGCTCTGTGGTGGACTTGTAACCAGCGTCTCGCACAGTAATTGTCGGTGAAAGGACCCTGCTTCTCCGGAAGGTGAAGTGGTTAAAGAAAATTGATGGTGCATAACAATAATGTGAAATTAACAGTTTGTAAAGGTTTACAAACCGTATAGTAAGTGCTATCAAGTTGGGTTTTTTTTTACATTTACTGTGGGTTGTTTTGAGATAGCAGTAATACCCTTTGCTTTTGGCCTTGCTCAGACTTTATGTCTCCAAACTGAAGCCCTTCAAAGAGCTACAGTATTTACAACAGGTGGGACATTACTGATCATAACCTTTTATAAATTACTCCACTTCAAAAGATTTGAACTATCGCTTGAGTTTTTTATTTTTTTTACATGTGTCTGATCAAAGTTTACACTGACCATCTCCTGAAGTTCGTGTGAGAAAAAAAAAGCAACTCAGTCAGTTCAGACTGTGAATTACTGGGTCAGGTTATCTTACTGAGCACATCTTTCAGTGGAGAGTGTAATTAACACAGGAATGGATTTTAAAATGAACTTGGCTTTTATATAAACACAGAGACAATATGGTTCACTCTTCCTTTGAGGCAAGCTGATATTACATGAATGTGCACTGAGGTCACTGAAGATCAGAACATTGTTGTTGGACCCAGAAAAAAGAGAGACAGCGATTCGGTTCCAATAAATTGAGATAGGATATGCTTGTTATTTCACCTTGAAAGCACGGCTGCTCCAGCTGTGTTCCTCAGCAGATGTGACTGCACGAATCCAAGTTACCTAAGAGGTTTGAATGTTACAGGTTAACGGGGTAAAACTTAATCCTCCCTCTCTTTTGGGAGGTTTGGTGTCAGGGTGTGCACTTCCTCAGGGTAACACACCTATTACAATACAACCATTTGTCATGTGCACTGGTGACATCAATAGAAAAAGACGATACAGTGTTAACATCGTCCCCGCCTGTTCAACTGGAAGTTGCTCTAAATGTTATGAGTGTATATGTACTGGTAATGTGAGGCAGAGACGTATGAACATACTCAATCGAACCATTCGGGGAAAAAGCAAAGCAGTGGTTATTGTTAGGATCATAAATTGCAAATAAAAGATGGACTTGGCCACTGGGTCATCATCTGTGAGTGTTTATGAACTATTATTTTGAAGTTTCAAGTACTTGTGGTGTTTCTGATCTTTGTTTTTTTATGTATCCACAAATGGTTTTATTGTAATTGAAGGGTGGAGCTGGATATTTTCTCTTTGAATAAAAAAAGTGTTATAACATTTTTCCATCCATTTATTTTCCTTACCTGCTTTTCTATGAAGGATCATAAAGAGCTGGTGCAAAATATGAGGGACACTCAGGTCGCCAATATGAAATTTTATTTCTCCCCTTGCCCCAAGATCAAACAGTAATCAAAAGAACAGAATCTAGTATTTGACACTTGACATTGTGGCGATGTTCCATAAATGTTTCAATGTATTATTATTTTTTATTATCTGTTTCAATGAACGTATAACAAATCCATTCTTCTATTATATTTTACAGGAGCTTCCTGTTTGTTTAAAAACACAGAGAAACTTGGGAACCTTTGGTAACACATAACTACACATTAGTTAGCCTTAAATAATCATTAATAAATGGTTAATTAACCTTGAAAACATATATAATCAAGGATGACTCATCCTTAATAAGCTATGAATTTACACATTCATTAATAATTTATCCAGAAAGGCTAATTACTTCCAAAACCATCATAATCATTGTTATTTAATGTTTAATAACTCATGAATTAATTATTCTATATGTAAATGTTCATATATTCATTCTTTCACACCATGTGTTAGACATGCAATAATGATTACAAGATGTTTGAATTAACTTTAATTTCAATTTGATTTCTACATATATAAAGGAACTTGTTGCCCTTCAGGGTTTTGTCTACATTAACAAATACTTTAAAAAACATAAAAAGACTTCACTTAAGAATGGTTCACAAGAGGACCCTAACTAACTAGTAGCAACTGTCTTAATTATCGATGCACTGCAGGATTAAGAGATAGTCAATAGGATTGCATTGCTAAGAAGGACTTGGCAATACAAGACATCGTGGCAAATTAAAAAGAGAAAGTTTCCCATTTATTTCTATAGTTTTACGTTAGGATGATTCTTCTCGATGGAGGATCAATACTTAAATTTGAACGAGGCAGGAGGCAGCAGAATTGCCACTTTGGTGTTATTTTTTTAATTATTATTAGATTGTGTCAGTTTGGATTGTTATTTCTACTCTGCAAACTTTTATGGCCAAGTTGTAAACATGAGCAAATGTTGGATGATGGAGGAAGAAGTG